CGTGGGTAGGGGTGTGTGATCAAGGATGAGGGTGTTACATACCTAACCTATGTACGTTTGCCTCATTTACCTACATAAGCACACCCGCCAATATAATAGATTTCTCACGGTCTTGATGCCCGCTTCTCCTCGTCGCCTGCTCGGCACCGGTCCCCGCAGCACCCGCAGCGTCGATAGTCGGCCGGTGCAGCGTTCAGAGGTATCGTGCTCCCGCCTGCTCGGAACCATTCCCCTCGGCACCCTCCGACCGCCCGCAGCGTCGATAGCCAGCCGGTGCAGCGTCCAGAGGTATCGTGTTTCTAAGGGACTTAGTGGCATTCCACTCTATTTCCTGGTGGCTTCCAAAAAACCACTGCCACAGCACCATTACCCCATCTGGTGGCTGACTTGTTAAATATCAATTCACCCGGCGTTAACCAGAGGCATTTTGTACCTTCCGATTTTAGACGATGTGATTTTGTATGATACGATCATCTCGTTTTGTAGGTTGCAATTTTGTATGATACGCGTTTGTTTGATCTGCCATTGTACGTTCCAATTTTGTACGTTCTGATCATTGGTTGATTTGCCATTGTACGCTTTACCCATTGGACGGTAAACTTTTGTACGTTGGGATTTTGTACGCTGCGCTTTTGTACGTTTGGTCTGTCCCCTACCTGGCCTGTTTTGTAGGTTTTGCGCGCTGTATTTTACGATTTTGTATGTTTTGAGGATTGTACGCTGCGCTTTTGTATGCTTTGATAGCCACCCACAGAAGGTAAGCTATCTAAATGATTCGCATAACCCGTACGCCCCGTGAGCCGTGGGGCTATCGCAGGACACTGCCACCCGTAGGGGGGGGGGCTATTTCGCCCCTTAACCCGCGCCCTGGTGGGGGGCAATTCCCCCCCCCCCCTCCAGACTTTTCGATATATCTCCAGAACCGCTGCGTCGATCGTCACCATACTTTAAGTACCCTCCCGGACATCAATTTTACACATTGTGACAAAAAAATTCCAAAGGCTATGATAGCTTGGCCGGAAATGACGTCAGAGTGACGTCATGTTCTGCCGTTTTCGACCCAAAAAAGGGTTTCGCGGGAAGAGCTGTCAGGCCTATAGCTTTGCAAATACAGAAAAACGATAAAGACATAAAAGCTGTAGAATTGACAGGGCTACAAAACTACTATCTCGGGTTTTTGAAATTTTTGGATTTTGACCCCCCAAAAATCAAAAAATAGATTTTTTGAATATAACAGCCGAAAAATCCAAAAAGTTTTTTGAATTTCGCAAAAAAAAACAGAATATATGTGATAGTCCTTACCTCCTATCCACATACCAAATTTGAGATTGATATCTCTTTTTTTGGCGAAGTTATAGCGAAAAACGGTTCAAAATTGATGACGTCAAATTCTCAAACTTAATTTTTAGCAATCATAGACCCCTTAGCGCAAAACAAAGACCACCATTAGACTCCGCGTGACGAGCTGCATCGAATCAATACCCCTTTTATGCAAAACTATCAACTTTAAAATTTGACCTTTTTTGACCTGACCTTGATCTGACCTTCACCAGAAAGTGACCTAAGCCGTACCTAAAAGTCTTATAACCAACACCATTGAGTTGGAAATGAAAAATTGGCCATAAAACATGCATCGCACAACCTTAGTACCTAAAGTTAGGTTCATGTGACCTGACCTGTGACCCTTGGTGACCTGACCTGTGACCTGACCTGGTAATGTCAGTGAACTCTTATAGCAACATATGTACTAGGCAACTGACGCCCTATCGCTGATTTTCGACAAAATGCGTTTTCTTCGGTGTTAAGCGCATTCCCTAGATGACCCGTGAACGGTGAAACATTTCATCTTTGACCTGACCTGTGACGTCATCGGTGACCCTAAGGTCAATGAAATTTGGTTTCCTTCGACAAATTTGACAGGCCTTTCGAACGCCGTTTGAATTTCGCGGATCCGTCCAGTTGTTTCGGAGATACGAGGGGGGGGGGCAAAAAATAGCCCCCCACTAGGTCGCGTTATAAATGAGACCCCAACAGTGCGCGGGTTAACCCCGCCCTGGCAGGACATTTTTCATAACACGGCCTGGCAGGGGGGGTTGATGCGACCCCCCTCGCGATTGGCTCCTATGGCACCTAGAAACACTAAATTTGGTAGGTAGGTGGGCCCCCTGGAGTTCTCGCCCCTGTGCAAATTTGGTTGCTCTAGGTCAATATTAGGGGGGTTTTGGGGGGTATAAATGTAAAAATTTCGCTAAAAACAAGTCAAAAGTTTTCGCTTATAACTTTTGATCTAATTAAGATAGAGCAAAAAGAAAAGCACCAGTGAACCCAGCACGTCAAGGCGCGTCGAATGATATACTTTTTAGCTGGCTTAAGTGTGCTTAAAGTTTTTCTTGTAAACTTAAAATTATAAAATAAGTTCAAATTAACCAAATTGCATCATATCGCATATCATTCGATTCTGCTGATCACCAGGAACACAATGATACCATTTTTTAAGTTCTAGCGTCATTATGTGCCAAGTTATTGGCAAAAACGTCATTTGACCTCAGTTGACCTCATTTGACCTGACCCATGGATAAGTACACCAAACAACGAAGCACCAAGTGACCTGCTGTTAATTACTATGGATTCAAAGCACAAAAGTGATAGAAAGAAGTAGACATCTCCAGTATTTTCGGAATTTAGTATTTTCCCATAGGCTTAACATTACGACGTAATGACCTCTAACTGACCTCAGGTCAGTGACCTAAAAAAACCCGAACTATATGTTATACAACTCGGTGAACATAGCACATCCTGAAAAATTTGAAGGAAATCAGTCAAAAACTGTGAGAAGAACAGGTGCAAAAAGAAAATTGAAATTTGACCATGACCCTGTTACCCTGTACCGGTTTTTCTGACCTGAGGCCTCTTGCACCAAACTACCTAGCTAGGTAAAATCGAAAAACCGGTTTCAGAATAAGCTAATCTAACGGCGGTAAATTTGTTTGCAATAGCCCAATACATAATCCTACATGTGCTTGCTAAATTTTGCACGTTAATTGTTACATTTGAGACTCGGACTGGGCATACGATGCAAAATAATCCGAGCATTGGTGCAAGAGGATTTTGGTGCAAGAGGCCTCTGGTGACCTGACCCAAGGTCACCTGTACCTGAAATTTTCAGGTCGTATGTAAAAAAAAATGTTCCATAGGCTGTGCCAAATTTGGCGGCGCTGCGCGCTGCCGTTTTTACGCTATCTTCGAAAAACCTTAGGGGGGGGGGGGGTCGCATCGACCCCCGCCCCTGCCAGGGCGAGTGTGAAGTTTTAAATCATAACCTTTTTTGGGACACCCTGTACTTTCTTGGCCTTACACGCCACAACTTTGACTAGTTTCGCCCCTGCAACGTCATCTTTGCACTGACTTGAAAAACCCCGGCGTAAAAATTGCAGACATCAACCGAATGTATCCCATCGTTTTCGAGATCCTAGGGGGAGGGGGGGGGGGTCTATCGCCCTTCTGTGCAAAGTTGTCCCATAGTCAATTTTTGTCAAACCACTTTGAGATATGCAATACTCTGAGTTGTCCATAACGATGACCTCAACATGAGCTAACGACGGGCGGGCGTTTTTCACAATTCAAAGTCCAAACCTTCGGGCCACAGGGCTCCTCGAAAAGCGCTGCCCTCGAGTAACCCGCGCCCCGTAGGGCTACCGGCGGACCCTACCACCCGTAGGGGGGGAGGGGCGTTTGGGCCCCCCCTAAGATCTCGGAAAGTTACCGGCCGATTTTCAAAATTCAAACGGCGTTCGATAGCCCCACCCGGGAACTACCTTGTGACCAAATTTCATTGACCAAGGTCAAACCGATGACGTCACAGGTCAGGTCAAAGGTCAGATTTTCACCGTTCACAGACAATTCAAGAAATGTGCTGTGAAAGCGAGTAAATTGGTAATTTTTTGAAAACCATCGATGGTACATTGTTCGTCAAACACATACTTTGCTATCTGAGGTCACTGATACCAGGTCAGGTCACAGCGAGGTCAGGTCACCGGGGGTCACAATATGAAAGTGTCGTGTGATACATGTTTTATGGTCCCATTTACATGACAAATGCGATTATGTGGGTTAGGCAGCCTTTGGGGCCAGCCTAGGTCACGTTTTGGTGAAGGTCAGGTCAAGGTCAGGTCAAATTAGGTCAAATTTCAAAGTTGATATTTTTGCATAAAATGGGTATCGATTCGATGCAGCTCGTCACGGGGAGTCTAATGGTGGTCTTCGTTTTGCTCTACGAGTTCTAGAATTGCCAAACATTGAGTTTGAAAATTTGACGTCATCATTTTTGAACAGTTTTTTCGCTATAACTTGGCCAAAAAACGAGGTGTCTATCTGAAATTTGGTATGTAGATAGAAGACGGTAGGCACTATCACATATATTCCGGTTTTTTCGAAACTCAAAAAACTATTTGGATTTTTTGGCGAATATATAAAAAAAAATGTTTTTTTGATTTTAGGGGGTCAAAACTCAAACATTTCAAAAATTCGAGATAGCAGTTTTGTAGCCCTGTTAATTCTACACCTTTTATGTTTTATCATTTTTCTGTATCTTCAAAGCTGTAGTCCTGACAGGTCTTCTCGCGAAGGTCTTTTTTCGGTCGAAAATGACAGAACATGACGTCACTCTGACGTCATTTGTGGCCAACATATCATAGCCTCTGGTAAAATTTTTGGTCACAATGTGTAAAATTGATGCCCGGAGGAGTCCTGATAGTTTGGTGGCGATATCTTCAGCCATTTAGGAGATATCGACCGAAAAGGACGGGGGGGGGGGGCGTTTCGGCCCCCCCCCCCTACGGGGCGCGGGGTAACGATGACCTCAACATGAGCTAACGATGCACGTTTGTTGTTTTGTTCGTTTCTTGTTGTGTGTGCCTATTTGTCCATCCCAGAAATGGCAAGTGCTCACTCAGCTGCACGTTTCCGTAACTCTGACATGTTTTTGTTGTTTCTGTTCGCAGCTCGACTCCATGGTGTTTCTGAGACTGATGTCGACATTTCAATCGGTTCCTATTCTGATGTCGGCCCTGTCATCTGACGGCATATTCCGACACCGACGGCAGCAGATGGGTATCATGGACTGGATCAAGTCTGAATCTATTCATACGTTATAATTGTATTTAGCACAATGAATGTACTTTCCATCTGCTTAATCTAGTTACGTTGAACCATTTTATTTTATTGCAAATATCCTGGCTACCTACCTATAGCTAATCTGAAACGCTAACATGATAAATAAATCAATGCAGCAGCTGAAAATGATTCATAATTTGCTTCCTCTATAAACAAGTATGACTGTCATATCTTCCCGTTTTGCTGTGTTCGTAGAGTTCGACGCACCTTTCAACGGTATTCGTCTCGTTGCCAATAACCCTTTTGTTTGTGATTGCAGCTTTGGACTGTTGTTGCTGTGACTGGTGCTGCCACCTACACAGGCATCGGTTAAAGGGACCCTCCCACCTTAACATTAGTTTTGAGTTGAGATAGCCAAGTTTGCGGCCAGGCTCAGAAACCACCATTTATCCTGGTCGCAACCCCCGCAGCTTTATGGTGTTCAAGAAATTTCTTCCCTTTACTTGCAGGGTGGGACCAGCGTGGTCCCTATCTCTTAACCATTACGGGAGTCTGATGACGTCACCAGGCTTTCGAACGTCCGTTAAATGTTTGACTAAAACGTTTTGTAGCACGCGGTGGTATATGCTGCTTTGCGCGCAACAAATGCCGCACTTTCAAATAAAGTCGCTAGGAACAGCGGAGATCCCAAAAAGTAAACAAAAGTAAAAGTCTAATATCTTGAAAACCGGTGAATATTTTTCGATGAAATTTGGTAGATATTCGTTTTTGCTCTTTCTGAACCGAGCGACATCACTTTCATGCCAATTCATTAACTTTTTTGAAGGTGGGAGGGTCCCTTTAATGGTGCTGCCATCTTTCAAACTGCTTTTGGCACCGACTGCAGCTCATATCTTGGACATTTGTCTCCAAGGGCAATCTTCGCTACTGAGGCTTTTCAACACCGTGGTATTGGTATTGTATTGGAGGTATTAACGGGGTTGCATTAACTTTTGCAACATAAGTGAGATGCAAAGTCTTACAGATATTCACTAGCATGATAGGTATAGGTAAATCGCATTTGTACCATATGATAGAGCCTGGGTACATACATCTAATCATATAATCATACTAATCATTACATCATATCATATAATTTACTTATATATGTCGAATTGATCAATGTCACGGGTCACATTCTGATTCAGTATCGGTCCACGGCCATTGAACAGTCGGTGGTCTCTCGTATTGCCGCTGTACAGTGATGACCAATCCGGTCCAGTGTTGTGGCCACCGGGTGACGGAGTGCACCGCCCACTTGTGTGTGTTTCTGTGTGTGTCAGCGGAAGGGGAGGAGCCACACGGGGAATAATCAACTTCTCCTTATAATTCACTAATAAAGGCCGCCCCACACTGGAACTCGCATGCGGGTTGCGGGTTTGCGGGTTTTGAGTTTGCGGGCATAATACCAATTCATAGAATGATTAGACCATTCCCTTATGGTAACATCATGAATGCAGTGAAGCCGGTACACCTTCAGAAAATTGCATATAGTCGCAATACCAGCGCAACGAATCAAAATTCGACTCCAACGAAAAACCCGCAAGCCTCGCAGAACTCGCAGACCTCGCAGCGAGGAAAATCGAAAGTTGACTCAAAATCAACTTGTGGAATGCAATGCAAGGTCGCTCGCAAGCTAAAAACATGCAGACTCGCTTGTTAGATGATAGTGTGGGTCACTCAGCTTAGATTGTATTATTTGATTTTGAAGAAACCCGAAAATCCAAAAACTCGCAACCCGCATGCGAGTTCCAGTGTGGGGCGGCCTTAAGTCGATCTGAGAAAAGTGGATCCGTGGCGTAATAGCTGGCGCAGTCGCATTCCAAGCCAAAGGTTGCGGGTTCGCGGCCTGGTGCGTACATTTGCTTTTGCCTGTGTTTCTAAATAGCATTTATTCAGTCAGTAACTCGGTTGCCAAAGCGAAACCCGCGCGGCGGCGCCGGCGGCGGACTTACCTTGTGTGTCGTCCTCCGCCAGGTAATATTGCAGCAGCTGCCACCGGTCCGGCCACCGGCCGACGGCCGCGTCGTAGGCCGCGCGCAGCCGGTCACCGGTCAGCAGCTGCTGCGTCCGCCGGCGCCAGAGGCCGGCCGTGGCGACCACCGTCGGGCCGTCCATCTCTGGTAGTTTGAGACGGAGCCAGTCCTGCAGCAGGTCAGGGTGGCTGAGGAGCAGCTCCAACACCTCCCGGCGCTGCTGGTAGGTGGCCGGTGGTCGGTGGTTCCCCTCCCAGGCCTCCTTCTCCTTCCGGTCCACCACTCGACACACCAACTTCATCAGCGGCACGGCCTCACCGAGGGCCCGCAGCAGCAGCTCGGGCCGCAGCAGCAGCTCGGCCCGGCCCCGCGGCGTGTCCGGCTCGGCGGTCAGGCCGGCCGGCCGCTCCCGGCGACACCAGGCGGCCACCGCGGCCGGCTCACCCAGCAGACGCCTGAGGTCAGACTCGGTGAGGAGCCGGGTGAGCGGCGTCACGTCGAGCGTGACGGTGACGTCACCGACCGGTGACGTCATCGGCCCGCCGTCCGCCAGGTCCGCCGGGTCCACCACGCTCCAGGCCATGAGCAGGAGACACTGCTGGTAGTGTGTCCCCGACGTCATGTGGTGGCTCCACTGGAGCAGGCGGGGGGCCGCGCGGGCCAGGCGGGGGATGGCGTCACTCCACCAGCTCTCCCAGCAGGGAGCCGTGGGGCGGAACCTGATACCGTCCCACACAGCCTGCCGGAGGAGCGTCCGTCCCAGACGGAGCCGCAGCTGGCGCTCTGAGAGCGGCTCCGTCGGCCGCCCCTCCAGCAGGATGTCCAGGGACCACCCCCGCTTCTCACAGCAGGCCATCAGAAGGGGTGTCAGGTGCTCCCTCACCAGCCGGAGGGAGCCGATGATGGCCTGCCGCTGGTCCGCGGTCAGCTCCGCCGCCACGTTAATATCCGGGTAGAAGAAGCAGGGCAGCCATTCTTCATCGAGGCGCCGCTCAAGCCAGTCCAGGAGCCGGTGGACGCCGTCCGTGACGCCCGTCCGCGGTCCACCGTGCGGCTCCTGGGCCAGCCAGAGCGCCGCCGTCTTGATAAAATACGACTTTAATAAGTCGCCAATGGCTACCCCGCTCTCCTTCAGCATGTTTTTAATGGCCTTTAGGGCTCTAACCGCAGCCCGCAGCCCCGGGCAGAGCTGACGGACGGCCAGCAGCTCCGCCCGAGACAGCGAGATGCGGTACTCAATGAACTCCGTCTTACTGCCCGGCCGGCCGGTGGGCACCAGGTGGACCCCGAAGCTGGTGTCCCAGGGGGCGCCGTCGGGCCAGACTGGCGCGGGCCACCAGCCGCGCACCAGCAGGCAGAAGACGAAGTCGGTGCCGCCGCTCTTAGAACCAGGCCCCTTGACGTTGACTGCCGGGCCGGTGGGTGTGATCTCACCATCCTTCATGACCCGGCAAAAGTCCACCATCAGCCGACGGACCGAGTCGGCCGGCAGCGCCTCCAGCGGCTCCTCGTGGCCGCACCGGTCCGTCCGCACCCAGTGCAGCGTCACGAAGCCGGCGTTGTCGGTCGGCCGGGCCCACAGCTGCGGCGCAGAGCGCGGCTCGATGTCGGCCGGCTTCTCCGCGCCCGGCGGCGCCCAGCGGAAAGGGCCGTCAAACTCCAACATAATGTCAAAATCCGACGTGCCCCCCTTACCGATGATATGGTCAGCCAGCCCCTCAGCCGAGCTCCCCGACCTGTTACAGGTGACCAGCCGGAGCGGCTGGCGGGGCTGGCAGTGACGACACCGGGCGGCGGCGGCGGCGGCCCCGGCCTCCGCCAGCGCCGACAGCAGAGGGCGGTACAACAGATCAGTGACGGCGTCACCGACCTCACAGGAGGTGATGTGGGCCTGTCGTCCCGGGCCGTGGTTGTCCACCAGGTCATCGGCCACCAGCAGCGTGTCGGCGACCAGATGGGCCGCCGACCCGCACCTCTCCACCAGCTGCTGCACCGCGGGGCTCAGAGTCCCCACCAGCCTCCTCCCCTGCTCCAGCCTGTAAAAGCGCACGGCATCGAGGATGTTAGACATACTTGTATCTATGTAGGCAGTTGAAATAGGTAAGCGATCTAGCGTAAGGCAAACACTAGGTGTCACTGATCACTGTCACAGAAGGACTGGCCGGTGCCGGCCGGCGCCGCTGCTGATATACCGACCGCCGGCGGCGGCTCCGATAAGAGCCGCCGGCCGCCGGCAGCGACAGGCGCGCGGCGCCGACTGGAGCCGGCCGGCGGCCACCTCCGGCTGCCGGCGTCACCAGGGGCGTCGTTTTGTATAGGCCTGGTAGGGCCTGAGCCCTACCAATGTCTATTTTGGCCCTACCAATATTTGTTGAGCCCTACCAATCTTTTGTTACTTATCAGTTGATAAAAAATCAAAATAAACAGGTAGGCAAATAAGCACATATGTAGATATATAAGGTTCTAGCCACAGTAGGTGCATGTAGCTGACAATGAGGTGTCGTGTCTTGGGACTCCGGTCCTTGGTGGATTCTAAGAGGCTCGAAAAAGCAATTGGTTATAGAGGTCCATAACTGCCTCTATAGAGGTCCTAACCACGCGACCGCCCCTAATAGACCCCGATCCGTCTCCACACCAGCCGCTGGAGGCCCTACCCCGACTTCGAAAGGTGCCGCGTTGCTCCAGGATAGGCCATATGTATATTGGTTTGAGTGGGTGATGCAGCCTGATTCCCGAGGGTCCAACGCCAGGTCATTTCCGCATCAGATCCTGAAAACTCAAGCTCATTATCTACGAGGGGCGTTCAAAACACTTTCGCACCGAACAATGAAGGAGTTGGAATTTCGGCCGGCAAGGCGGTATGTTAAATGATGTGTTATTGGAATGTCCACTTACGTATCCATTAAGTCTGTCCTGTGATTGATTCGGGGCGGGCTGCTAATTAATCGTAGCATAGTTTGCCATTTCGGATAGGATGGGCGACACCCAGAAGAGAGAAGTGATTCGGTTCATAGTATAGGTACTGCAGAAAAGGCAGCAAGCGTTATTCACGAAAAGCTAGTGACAACTGACAACACATGTCGAGGTTTGCCTTTCTTACAGCAGCGTCAAATAGTGGGTATCCTGCCCAATTTTGATCAACAGATCATTGAAGGTGACCCCCGCAGTGGCCAGCCATCAATAGCATTGACTCAAGCCACTGGCGGTCGCAGCCGCTAGCAAAAGGGGGGGGGGGCCAAACTCACACTCGTGGGACATAACATTTATCCGTCACCGGAGGGGGGGGGGGTGATCGGCTAATTTTTACGTCCACGAGGCGCCGCGCAGTTGGCACTAATTATGCTTCATCCATGTCATTCTTGCGTGGAATCTTTAAGCACAATTTAAGGCAAAATCACCAGTTCCATTTCCCGTCCCACGGTGTTTCCACCGGTCGGGCCACTGCACCATGGCGACGGATCGATGTAGCATATACTGAAAGGTCGGGCACGCGGATTTATGACCTTACCACTATAAAACAATTCGGAAAAGTACAGATATCTACCTCTTGCTTTGAACAAGCATGTGAAAACCAGAGAGCATTTTCAGGCTATGACATTTACCCATATAGTTGTGTGGCGTCGGGAGAGAGTAGGTACACCGACCTCTGTAGACCAAAGGTTCCTGGCTTTCAAAATTGGCATCTGAGGGCCGCGCGCGACTCCTGCGGGCTTCGTAACGGCTCTATTGGGGCTCACTCAACCTGCCTAGTTCTCATGCTGAAAAGACTGGCCCTGAGCCCTGAGGATTTCATCAGTCTCTGCCAGCCCCAAGACCCACAACGGCTCATGGGGTCCCGATGTCAAAATATGAGGGAATCTACGCGGGACCATCAGGACGTAAAGTGATCTCGATCAGGACCAACGTAAGGCTGTACAGGAGTCTGCGTAAGCCCTCTGATCTTCAGAAGCCCACCCATGTATGTTTTCACTTAAAGGCCAGATTAGGGCCCTCAGAGACCAGTACAGGGCCTGCAAACTGCAAAGGCCAGTAGTTTGAGACCATCAGAGACCGAGTTGGGCTCTCAGAGGCTAATGTGGGTCCTTACTCATTACAGGCCAACATGGGGCCCTCAGATGTCAGCGTGGGGCTCTAAAAGACCGGCATGAGCCGTCGTTGGACCCCAGAGGCCAGCAGAGGGCCCTCAAAGGCCAAGATGGGCCCTCCTCACTCCTCAGAGGCCAATGCAGGCCCTTAGAGGCCGGCATCGGGTCTTTAGCAGCCAGTGCGGGGCCCTCATTGGCACCTAAAGGTTCGTCTTAGGACACCAGAGACAGAAATAAGGCCACCAGAGACCGGTGTGAGACGCTCAGACGCCGGTTAGGGGCCCTCATAGGCCAGGTGTGGGGCTTAAGAGGTCGATGTGGGCTCTTAGCGGCCAACGTGGGCGCTTGACCGCCACTGAAGTTCCCTCAGAGGTCAGTGTAGGACGCTCAAAGACCGGCGTGGGAGCTATATTAGCCCGCGCCCTGCTGGGGGTCCTGGATTTCCACGCCCTGCTGGGGGGGGGGGGTGTTTGAACACCCCCCCTTGTAACTCGGCTCCTGGGCCACGTAGCGATACGCGGAAGGCGGCGTTCGAAAGAGCGTCAAAAATAATGACGAAATCACTTCGGTCAATTTTTTGGTCAGGTCAAAGGTCAGGTCACCAGAGGTCATTGAAGGCAAAATTTCACGCCGATTTCCAGGTCGAATGTCAAAAATTTTCAAGAAGCCAACGCATAACTCGGGAACCAATAGAGCTACAGCGCCGCGGAAAGGCGCATTCGATAGCCCTATTAACGCCCTTTCTGAGTAATTCTCTCAGATTTGACCTAACGTCAACGATTTGCCTGCAGGGGGCAAAAACTGCAAAAATAGCCGATTTTTTCGAAAACAGTTTTTCTGCAATAACTTTTGACCCAAGCCTTGTACGAGCTTACTTTTACCGGCATCGTGTTTCTCTCGTCAAGACGCATCGAATGAACTATAACTTGACCTTGAAAGGTGAACTTGAAAATTTGACCTCAGGTCAAGGTCATGACCTGACCGGAAAGGGTCATGTTGCATATCAGTCGATCCGTATCGTCGAGCTGAACACATCTAAGGCGTTTTCATCGCTCTAGCATGC